TCGCCGTGGCCACCGTGGGCCGTGCCCCTGGAGCTCGGCCCCCTGGCAGGTCTTTGGTTAACTGTGCTTGTGAGCAGACGCCAGCCACGCCCCCGCCCATGGGGTCAGCACGCTCCCTCCAAGGCCCTCGTGGCATCTGGGCGGCCCCTGCGCCGGTCACACCAGGCAGCAGGCGTCGGGTTATTACAGCTCCTTCCCGCCCCGTCCAGTCCCCTCAGCCAGGTCCAGAGCAGAGCTCAGTGGAGCTGCCGTCTCCTCTCCCACCTGCACAGTGCCCGCCCCGTCGTGGCCCCTCGGCCCTGCTCTCACCTGGGAGAGTCTCAAAGGCGCTGGCCCCTGTGGGTGGGACTAGGAGGCCTGGTGGCCTCAGGGGAGGTGCCCCATTGGTTACCTGGCACTTGGTTACGAAGACCAAGACTCGTGGCTCCCAGCAGCCAAGACCGTCTGCCGGTGAGCAGGCCCGTTGGCCTCCTGGGCCTCACGCAGCTTCGACACAGGGACCTGCCGGCTGGGCCGTGGCGGCTGGAGACACGTCCTCTCCTGGCCTCCTTTCAGGGTTCTCACCTGCGTGGCCAGGTGCAGGCTCAGGCGCGTCACACGGTCCTGGCAGACAGGTGCCTGGACTCACAGCACCACTCCCACTAGAGGCTGGTCCTGGGCAGGCAAGGCCGCTGGGTTCTGGGGCCGAGACACGTGAGATGGGCCCACAGCATCTTGTAGTGCCTGACGGCCAGGGCGTGCCCACCGTGCACCATGCGGGCGTGTCAGAGGGACACAGAGCCAGGAACGCGCTCCTGCCGCCAAACATGAGATAAGCTGATCCATGAGCTGCGCAAAACTAAAGGCCACACTCGGTAGCGCGTCGGATGACAGCTGGGGAGGAGACGTGTCCCCTGCAGAATCCCCACCGGTGGCAGGGACGCTGCGCCCTCACGTGACGTCTCCTCCCTCACCCCAGCCCAGGGAACCAGGGCGAGAACACCAGACAGATCCCCGCAGAGGGCATCCTCCCCACCCCAGCAGCTGCCTTCACTGCCAAGGTCTTTGAAATGAGGGCCCAAGGGCCGCAGGGAAAACACGTCAGCATTGGCACCAGCACGCCCAGCCGTGCAGGGCGTCACCAGGGCAGCGTGTGGGGGGCAGCGCGGCGGTGTCTTCCGTTCTCTGTGATTCTCTGTGATGCTGCGTAATCCTCAGGCTCCACCCATCTCCCGCACATGGGGCTCTGGCGGGACCAGCTCCTGGCTGTGACCTGTGACCTGGGGGGTAGGGGGGGGCGGCCTCAGGCGGGGCCTGCAGGGGAGCAGAAGCGGGTTTTGGGACGGTTCGCAGTAGAGTGAGTGGAAGATGCCACCACAGTCCGTGCCCCCTGGTGGTCAGAGGTGATAGAAGGTCCTGAGCGTCCACACTGTCCCAGGGATGTGGGGAAGTCTTGTCTCGTGTCTCCTCTGAGGTCAGTGCTGGCACCGTGGATCCCCGAGGGGCCGCACATGGCCAGTGCAATGTCCGCCCCCACAAGAGGGTCCTGACCTCACGCCCGTGGTCTGGCGTGGACAGCGCCTGCTCTCCCACGTTCTCTGGACACTGTGCTGACGGCCTGTGTCCCGCAGGGCGACTACGACCAGAGCAAGACCAAAGTGCTGCACCTGAGCATGAACCCGGCCCGCGAGGCGCAGCAGAGCCGCCGCCAGGACCAGGCGCGGCTGCAGGAGGAGTGTGAGCAGCTGCGGAAGCTGGTGTGCGCCCTGGAGGGGGGCGGCCCCGTGCCCGCTTCCTTCTTTAAGTCATGAATCATAAGAGCTTGTGTTAGTTGAACATTGACTATTCACCAGTTGATGGATTACATGGGTAATTTGATAGGCCTATAAGAAAATGAAAGATTGAAAATTTAAAAATATGTATTTTAATGGATGTTTAGAGAGAGAGGAAGGGAGAGGGAGAGAGAACGCCCCCACGCACTGCCCTCTCCAGTCAGGGCGCCACCTCTGGGCACAGCGTGTCACCTCTAGGACGTGACCATGGGGTCTGCCCAGGCCTCAGAGTGCGCGGGCGCGGTCCTGCCTCAGAGCATCCCTGGTGTGGAGAAAAGCGCGTCCGTCAGCACGAAGGAGGGCCGTGGGGGCCCAGGCCTCCCGGAGGCCCTGCCACGGTGCCCGTGGGACCTGGGCCAGCGGGCACTGCAGCCTCTTGGCAGGTGGAGGTGCCCGGCGCGCTGCCTCCTCTGGGTCAGGCGCCTGTGAGGAGGGGCCCAGCAGCCTGGCCTGGGGGGAGCGTGTGAGGACAGCTTGGCACCTTGCTGACACCCTCAGCCCGGGGGACAGGCGGCAGTGGGCGCGCGGTGTGGACTCTGCGGCCTCTGTTGGCTCCGGCCGGCGGCTCTGAGTTGTGAGCAGAGCCATGGATGGGGCTCCGTCTGCCTCCAGCACACCGGGCTCCAGCGCAGGACCAGCTCCTGGGCGGTGGCCTGTGACCTGTGACCTGTGACCTCTGACCTCCCCCGATGCAGAGGCCTTGCCATTGTCCGCCCTGACTGGGTTCTCTAGTGGCCAGAGACCCGGCCTGGAGAGTAGGGCTCCAGCTTCTAGCTGCCAGCAAGTGCCCCACCCCAGACACTGTCCACCCTCCGCTCTGGACTCCAGGCCAGCCTGCCTTGCACCCTCTGTGCGGCCAGGTGCTGCTGGGAGCAGCTGGGCCTGTGGCGGTCAGGGCCCTGGCTGAGGGCAGGGGTGGTGCAGGGCAGACACTGGCCATGTGACAGCGAGGCCAGTGCCCTGGCAGGGGCACCAAGGGTCCACGTCCAGACAGTTCCAGGGCGTGGAGCGGCAGCGGGTGGGGATGGAGGGTGGGCGCGGGCAGTGCCGCCTGCGAGGTCAGCAGGGTGCAGGGCTGCTCTGGGCACCAGGGGCTGGACGAGGCCGCGCCCCCCAACTTGGGCTCCCGTGAGGCAGGAACAGCCCTTCGTGGGGGTTGCTGACCCGTTCCAGGCCCTGAACCCTCCCGCTGCCCCTGCGTCAGCAGAGTCCCTGTGGCTCAGGCAGGGAGGCAGCCTCAGGCTGGC